GAAGGGGTTCTGCCGCCTGGGAAGCGGGATCCGCGCCTGCCTGCAGCTCCCGGGGTATCGCGGTTCTGTAGCAGGGCCGTCGGTGCTGCGACCTCCGCGCCTCCCCGGCTACAGGCGCCCCTCAGCCTCTCTGGGGGCGGGCTTTTATCGCCCCGGGGGAACAAGGACCCTTCCTGGCTGTTTGCGGGGCGGCCGGCCGTGCTGCAGGCCCCGCCGAGCAACTGCCTGGCAGCCCCAGCGGTCGAAAAGCTGTCTCTGTGTGGCACGGCTGGGGTGGGAGCCCCTCAAGGGGCCGGAATATAAATCAGGGGTAGCGCAGTGTGGGTTTGCATTGGTGGCTGGTGATGCCTGAAGGGCTGTCTCTAGATAACCCAGATAAATGGATATTTACAACAGCTATTAGCTTCCAGCTTCTTTCATGAGAGATTTAAATGCTGTGGGCAGATGCTGAAACAATAAATGCCACAAGAATTACAAGGAGTTATCTGCGTAACAGTATAAACTGAGGACTGACTAAGCACTGAACAGGGACTGTTGTTTCATCTTACTGGTGGACCTTCTGTGGTCCTTTCTGAGCATTGTCGCTGTCTCGTACCATGCTTTGCCAGTAAAGAAGTGGTTCGCAGATTTCTAAAGAAAAATAAACTTCTTTTAATAGGGGGAAGAATTAAGCTTTAAAGGTTGGTCTCTGGTAGTTTTAAAGAACTTGTGCAAATTAAAGAACTATTTCTGTCCTTCTTTCCGGGGAGTAGTTTAAAAGGGAACAAATATGGCCAGCAGTCACAGACCTCCAGTATCTCATCCTTCTTCAAGAGCAGGAATAGGGCTGACCCCAAGACCTACCTCTTCATCAAGGACTCCATCAGCAACCAGAATAGGAACAGCGGTATGTTAAAAAAATTGAACATTAACTTCAATACATTTGGATTTTTATAGTTTTTTTGGTAATTTTTTCAGTACTGTGACTTAAGTGAGACTTTCTCATGAGGAATTTACAGATTTTAATTTTGTAGAGAGCTGTGTTTTCTATATTTTGACTGAAAAGCGTCAAGGAGGTCTTGCATCAAGAGACCTTAATAGCATTTATGTTATAGACAGAGGAAACAAACAATTGCTCAAAAGTAATCTCTTACCCTTCTGGAGTGAACACCACTGAAGCATTGTGTACCTGAAGACATGTAAATCCTAAACGATTCTTATAAGAACAGTATAGAGACTAGCTTAAGTTTTTCATTGCTTTGGCAATTGCATAAGAATAATAAATACATAATTAAAAATTAGGAATTTTGTGGTTTTTGTTTTTTTGGTTTTTTTTTTCCTAGATGCCTCCTGGTACATCAAGACCTGGTTCTCGTGGTGGTCCTTCGACTACTGGAGGAGTCTTATCAGCTCAGATAAAAGTTGCAGACCGCCCAGTGACTCAACAGGGATTAAGTGGAATGAAAACTGCAATGAAAGGTATTTTTTACTGAAAATACCTATCAAGGTGTCTGCAAACGTTTAAAAAAAAATTAAGTTTGTAAAGGAAATCTTTTCATCACTGTTTAAATTGCAGAGTGAATAGTTGTGATTAATAGAAGTAGGAGAAAGGAAAGGAAGACTAAAGCATAGAATCACAGAATCATAGAATGGTTAGGGTTGGAAGGGACCTTAAAGATCATCGAGTTCCAACCCCCCTGCCATGGGCAGAGACAGCTCCCACTAGACCAGGTTGTTCGAAGCCTCATCCAGCCTGGCCTTGAACACCTCCAGGGATGGGGCATCTACAACTTCTCTGGGCAACCTGTTACAGTGACTCACCACCCTCTCAGTAAAAAACTTCCTCCTAATATACAATCTAAATCTACCCTCTTTCATCTTAAAACTGTTACCCTTAGTCCTATCACTTCACCTCGTGATCAAGAGTGCCTCCCCATCTCTCCTGCAGGTCACCTTCAGGTACTGGAAGTCAGTTATAAGGTCTTCCCAGAGCCTTCTCTTCTCTATGATGAACAACCCCAGCTCTCTCAGCCTGTTCTCATACAGGAGGTGCTCCAGCCCCCTGATCATCTTCGTGGCCCTCCTGGACTCGCTCTAACAGGTCCATGTCCTTCCTGTGCTGAGCACTCCAGAGCTAGATGCAGTACTCCAGGTGGGGTCTCATAAGAGCGGAGCAGAGGAGAAGAATCACCTCTCTCAAGCTGCTGGTCATGCTTCTTTTTGTGCAACCCAGGAAACAGTTGGCTTACTGGGCTGCAACTGCAAATTGCCAGCTCATGTTGAGTTTCTCATCAGCCAATAATCCTAAACCCATCTTCTCAGCGCATTCTCCTTCCAGCCTGTATTTGTGCTTGGGGTTCCCCCCACCCACGTACAGGACCTTACACTGCTTTGTTGAACTTCATGAGGTTTGCACAGACCCACCTCTCAAGCCTGTCAAGGTCCCTCTGGATGGCATCCCTTCCCTCCAGCGTGTCCACCACACCACACAGCTTGGTGTCATCAGCAAACTTGCTGAGGGTGCACTCAATCCTACTGTCCACGTCTACTACAAAGATGTTAACACTCAGTTGTTTAACATTAACTCCCAATACTGACCCCTGAGGAACACCACTTGTCACTGATCTCCAATTGAACACTGAGCCACTGACCACAACTCTTTGAGTGTGACCATCCAGCCAATTCCTTATCCAGCAACTGGTCCAACTGTCAAATCCATGTCTCTCCAATTTAGAGACAAGGATGTCATGTGGGACAGTGTCAAATGCTTTGCACAAGTCCAGGTAGCTGATGTCAGTTGCTCTTCCCTTATCCACCAGTGCTGTAACACGGTTGTAGAAGGCCACCAAATTTGTCAGGCATGGCTTGCACTCAGTGAAGCTATGTTGGTTGTCACCAATCACCTCCTTATTTTCCATGTGCCTTAGCAGAGTTTCCAAGAGGATTTTCTCCATGATCGTGCCAGGCACAGAGGTGAGACTGACTGGTCTGTAGTTCCCCGGGTCTTCCTTTTTTTCCTTTCTTAAAAATGGGCTTTATGTTTCTCTTTTTCCAGTCAGCAGGGACTTCCCCAGACTGCCATGACTTCTCAGACATGATGGATAGTGGCTTAGCAACTACATCTGCCAGTTCCCTCAGGATCCGTGGATGCATATCATCAGGACTTGTGCACCTTCAGGTTCCCTATGATTCTCCTACAGTGGGCAGTTCTTCATTCTCCCAGTCCCTGCCTTTGCCTTCTGTGATTTGGGCAGTGTGGCTCAAGCCCTTTTCAGTGAAGGCTGAGACAAAGAATTATTTGAGTACCTCAGCCTTCTCCATATACTGGGTAACTAAGTCTCCCATTTCCTTCTGGAGAGGGCCCACGTTTTCTCTGGTGTTCCTTTTATCCCTGATGTACCTATAGAAGCTTTTCTTGTTGCCCTTTATGTCCCTGGCCATATTTAATTCTGTCAGGGCTTTAGCTTTCCTAGCCCGATGCCTAGCTGCTCAGATAATTTCTCTGTATTCATCCCAGGCTAGCTATTCTTGCTTCCACCCTCTGTAGGCTTCATTTTTGTGTCCAGGAGTTCCTTGTTCATCATGCAGGCCTCCTGGCATTTTTGCCTGACTTCCTCTTCGTTGGGATGCATTGCTCCTGAGCTTGAAGGAGGTGACCCTTGAATATTATCCAGCTTTCTTGGGCTCCTCTTCCCTCCAGGGCTTTGTCCCATGGTATTCCACCGAGCAGATCCCTGAAGAGGTCAAAGTCTGCTCTCCTGAAGTCGAGGGTAGTCAGTTTGCTATGCAGCCTCCTCACTCCCCTAAAGATCTTGAACTCCATTTCATGGTCACTGCAGCCCAGGCTGCCCTTGAGTTTCACATTCCCCACCAGCCCTTCCTTGTTGGTGAGAACAAGGTCCAGCACAGCAGGTCTCACCAATGCATTCCAGGAACCTCCTGGCTTGCTTATGCCCTGCTGAGTTGTCTCTCCAACAGATTTTGGGGTGGTTGAAGTCCTCCATGAGGACCAGGGCTTGTGAGCATGAGGCTGCTTCTATCTGTCTATAGAGGGCCTCCTCTGTTCCGTCTTCCTGGTCAGGTCACCTGTAGCAGACAGCCACTATAATGTCACCTGTTCCTGCTCTCCGTTTAATCCTGTCCCATAGGCTCTTGGTTCGCTCCTCATCCATCCCCAGGTGGAGCTCCATGTACTCCAGCTGGTCACTGACACAGAAGGTGATGCCCCACCCCCTCCTCGTCTCCCCTGCCTGTCCTTCGTGAAGAGCCTGTATCCCTCCATTCCAACCATCCCACCATGTCTCTGTGATGCCAATGAGATCGTAGCCCTGCAGGCGTGCACACATCTCCAACTCCTCTTGTTTATTCTTAATGCATTTGCATAGAGACACTTCAGTTGGGCCCCTGATGAAGCCGACTTGCTGGCTGGAAGTCCTTTCTGTTGCCCTTCACCTGCTAACCTGTGATCTTTCTCCAGGCCCTGGGCATCTATTGCCAGCCCTGGTTTTAAAATGGTATGACTGAGATGGATTAAGTTTCCCCTCCCTCAGCAACTTTGGTTTGCCTCTTTTAGCTTACCTCTGTTGTTTTCTTTACTCTTGATAGTCGGAGAAGACAAAGTTCTTTCTGTGCCTGAGCTGTGTTTAAAAATCATTCAAAATAACAGAACAGGATGAATTGTGTCTTCTTCCATCACTGCAGAGTAATTAAAATACTTTGTTATATACTAACGATTCATATAGCTTGAAAAGTAATGTTTATCTTCACTACGGTCTAAAATGAATTTCTGCCTTCATTTGTTGTAATGAGATAAAATCTTTTTAAGAACACTGAAGAGATGGCAGTTCTCTGCCTGCAAGTTCTGCAGATTGTTTTCATAGTTTGCAGTTCATAAAAATCAGCTGTTTTCTAACGAAATATCATCTTGTTCTCCTTTGTCAGGTCCTCAGAGACAGATAATGGATAAAACATATTACCTTGGACAGCTGAGGTATGTCTTAACAATACATTCAAACTGCAGAATGTTTAATGCTCTGTTCCTTTTCTGACATGAAGTTTGTTTTGCCTAACAATAGCATGGGATAAGGGGTTTTCACTTATAATGAAATCTGTCTTGTTATAAGAGTTAAGGTCATTTTGTGATATATGTTGTATGAGGAAGGAATTTTATACTTATGACCAAGAACAAGTAGATTCCTTTGACGTTTTGTTATTAGGCTTGCTAAGTTAAATGTACTTCCACAGCATTAGTAAAAGGACGATCAGTGATTTTGAGCTTCCACCTGTAATGCTTGATAGGTCTGATAGCTCCATTTGTAAGAAATAGCATCACAAACTAGGCATGTTTTAGTGTATATTTCAGGTGGTTTACTTGGATTACACATTGAGCCAACACTGACAGAAACTGTTGCATACGCCACTTTCTCCGTTGATCATGTTGCAGTATTGAATAATTAGTCCTAAAGCATGTAATTTAAATATGAATGATATCCATATTCTGTGAAATTATACTATGATTTTTTTTCCTGTCCGTTTGAGAATAATGCACACCTGTTTCACCAGCAGGAACAAAAAGCTAATTAAAACATTCCATATCCAGGTTTTCTATCTGATGGTGATTTTATCTGATAGAGCTATGCTTTTTTCCTCACTTCTCTTCTTTGAAAGAGATACTGGTTGCACATCTTTTGTAGTAAAATATAATTTCTGTTCTATCTGTGTTTTAGTTGTACATTCAAATGTTAATGATTCTTTTTTGTTTATTTTTTTCAGAAGCAAAACAAATGAAATTACAACAGAAATTAACAAGCTGCAGGAAGAAGTAGAAATGTACAAGCAAGAGAAATCTGTCTATTTGTCTTGTGAAAAAAGGTGAGATGTACTGCAGCTGATGCAGTGGTAACTTTTTTAGTCACAAGACTACTGTTGGCGTTGTGCAGGCTTCAAAGAAACATTAAATAATTATATTTTTTTCATTATTTTATTTTTGCATATACAAATTTTCCCATCTGAAGTTTGGCTTTTTGTTTTGTATTTAGGGCAGAGGCTTTAGCTGGTGAAATCAAAGAACTTCAAGGTCAGCTGGCAGACTACAACATGGTATGTTGCTATCAGCTGTTGATACTGAATGCTCTCCCTTCTCTCATTTACTTTCTACTGCTTTTGCTTTACTTCAGCATGTTTTTTGTTGACAATTCTCTCTAAAAATGTGCTGGTTAATACTGCCTTTTGTTCAGTTATTGGAAAGGAGAAAGATGAAAATTAAGGAAAAGCTAAGAGAAAGAAAAAAAAGTGTACTATACCTTAGGAGAAGTTGTTGCATATGGATTTAACAAATCACTGCTGTGTAATATTTGTGGGTTTTGCACAGCTACATGTCATGATGATTATTTCTGAAAACTGCATGTGATCTATTAAGGTTCCCAAATCATGCTTTTTCCATTTGCAGTAACAGAAAATTGCAGTGTTTTCAGGAGCACTTTGTTTGTCTGATTTTTTGTGTGTAACTAAAGAAAAAGGAGAGCAATAATAGGTTCGATTCTGGCTCATTTCAGGTTGTGGATATCCTTAACACCAATACGGATATGGCAGAAGTGATTCGAGATTACAATATGGTAAGAATTAGGGTATTTGCTATGTTTCAACAGTGAAATGGTGTGTGTTACATTCTTGTTGCTTTGAACATATGACAATATATAAAAAAGCATAGCATTAATTTTTTCCAGTTAACCAGAATTATTCTAGTTAAATTAACCCTAATATTAGCAATGTGTTTGTAGTGAGGCAATTTCCTGACATGTTGCATTATCAGCCCCGTGATTGTTTTCTGTATTTTAGATTTGAGAAGGCTGTTGTCCCAATCCAAATTATGAGTGTTAAAATATATTCTTTATTTGACTTGGAAGCATAGAACAATGGCCTTATGAAAGGCAAATTCACTAGACTGCACTGCCTTGTAAAGTGCCTGGTCTTCTGTAAATTAGTTCTCTTGACTTCTGCCTTTTAAATTACTCCAGTGTAATAAATATTAAATAGGTCTCTGACATGACTAACCGCAAAATCAGTGTGCTTTGTTCTTCCTTTCTTTCTGTATTTTCTAAGACATTTAAAGTGTTTCTCTAAGTCTTAAGGTGTCAGTGGCACCATGTGGCAACCATAGGCATGTTCCATTTCCTATAATCACTTTGTCCATAAGCAAAAGAAACTAGTTTTAGAAAAGGTGATGTTGGTAAAATGAAAAACTACCTGAGTATTTCTTGGTCAAAATGTGTTTTTTTTTCCCCTGCATTCAATTGAAAAAATAAATTTACAATGTCTACGTCCTAAAGAGAAGCATGTTTTGCAAGTGTTAATTTTCATTTTGCTTGTAGGCTTAAACAGTATTTTACTAAGTGTTCCAGGAACAGGTCTCACAGTAATAGTAAGTGAATTGATTTGTTACAAACTTGATTTGTATTTCTCTTTAAAACAGAGAGATGCCTTCTTACTTCCTTGGTTTCCAGTGGAAGACTGCAATTTCAGAAGGTCTTTCTTCAGTATCAACTGCAAAAAACCTCTGGAGCAGACAGCCTCTGCTGCTTCTTCCTCTATTGCATTCTGAGCAGCTTCTTGCTCATTTAAAGGAAACTTTTTATTTGTAAAACCCCTATATTTATTGTTGTATATTATATCAGAATATCTTTTTTTTTTTTAAGTTAAAGGTTCAGAATGACCGAGACACTCAGACTGTGGATAAAGTTTTCAAAGAAAGACAAGCGTAAGTACATGAAGTGTATGCTTCTCAAAAAGCTGTTAAAATCATAAGTGAACATGGCAAAACTGAGGTGTTATCTAATTTAGAAGTTCCTTAACAGTGTCAGGATGCATGCCACAAGTGATACCTGAGCAATATCAAGATGATACATCAGTGCTAGGCTGCAGCAGGAGTTCCCAACTTTAAGCTCTTCTGAGTAACTGCTGTAGAGATACTTAACATGTCATCAGGGAGACGTAAGGTGACAGTGGGGTCTCCTGTCTTTTGGCAACCTGCTGTCAAGGTCATGAGTTTTGGAAGTTGTGTAGTGGAGTAGCAGAGTAGGGAAGGCAAGCAGAAGTGGGAACTAAAACTGAGATTCCTGTCTGGTAAAGTAAGAGTGTGTGTGGAGGGGAAGATGAGGACAGCAGGATGCTTGCAGTATGAATTTGTAAGCCATGAAAACAGCTTGTGTAGTGATAGGTTGAGAGGGTGAGTTTCTGAGATGTTTGATTTAGGGACAGGAGATGTTCAGGAGAAAGAGAGGTGATCCTGCTTGTTGCCAGTAACAGCAATCTTAACAATGAGATTTTACGTATAAATAAGCACTTTTAAAAAACAATTTACCATTTAATAGTAAGTCATCTTTTCGATAGTACTGTGCTTTTCATCAGCTTGCAAATGTGTCTATTCTACTCCTGAATGCATTTGTAAGTGCTAAGAACATATGAAGGGAAAAAACTTGGTTTAGTAGCAAAGTAAGGCACAAAGGCATTAGATATGCAATAACGATGATGTATTGTCATACTTTATGTAGACGTAATTAAGGCAATGGAGCAGTTGATTTTTCTTGCTCTGCTAATTCAGGTAAAAAACCCCAAAATGTTCTGTTCTCTGATTGTATTAGTTTTGCCTAGTAAGCTACTGAGCTGTGACACCATTGATTTGGATTCAGTCCCCAGTCTGGCTAGGGTCTGCTTCAACATTTTAGATAAGTTATTCTTCACAATTAAAGCATTAGTGATTATGCCAGCTTCAGAAGCTACTTTGTAAAGACGAATTCATGTTAAGCAATATATAGTAAGCTCTCCCCCTCTGCCATAAATAACCAAATAGGTTTTTATAAAAGGTAGATTATGAGGTTTTTTTGCATGTTTTGAAATATGTGTTGTGACACCGATGCATCCACATCACCACATTTTTTAGCTTCCTGAGTCATGAAGCAATATCTTTTATGGATTTGATGAGAGGAAAGGAGATGGACTGCTTAGCCTCATTTTGTGTTGTGCATAAGTAGGTAATACAGAAGTACAAGTGTACTACAGTTTTGAAAAGTCAGTTCATCATCCATTGTTTAAGACATTAACTCTCCTCAGTTACATAAGAATCTATGTATTTATCTTCAATAAATCCATCTTTCCCAGGCACAAATGTATGGATTTTCTCAAATATTACTATGGGTTCTTCGTTGCTTGTATCTGATACTGTAGGAAAAGAACTCATGTCAGCTGAGAACTCTTGTTCAAACATCTTTGAGTCATTTTCTTCCAGACGACGGTGACTGTAGCTGATCAAATAGCGATACCATGTTGGACATTTTATAGCAGTAAAAATCAGGAGCGTAGTGCTGAGGACAAACCCTAGGACGCCTGCTAGGAAGGTCCAACTTTTGCCAGGAAGGTGTAACTCTTTAAAACAGACAGGAAAAAAAGAAGAGTCATCTTCATGAGGAATTCCAGAAAGAACTCTTTGTATGAATTTTTTCATAGTTAAATTAAGAACTCACAAAATAAATAGTGATAGGGGAATTACTGAGTGTCTCCAAAGCTTTAGTAGAATGTTATTGCTATGTTATTATTAGGGAGTCAGTAGCATCAATCAAACAAAAGATGCATGTACATCTCATATTTCCTAACAATCTAAATCCACCATGCACATTTATCAAAAATAATAGTTGCAAGTCAGATAAAGTTCCAGGGACATATAAAAGATAAAATAATAACATTTTCAAAATTTAAATTCCAAGAGTGGGCTTCGGAAAAAAAAATCAGTAATTGACTTCAAATTTTATTTCCAGCATTAAATTTCTGTATGGTGATGATGTCTCCACCTTAAAATATTACATCTTTTGTTTGGCATATCCTTTCAATTGTGTTTCTTTTATAATAAAAATTTCAAGAGATTGTAATTGCTAGTAGTCTATTTAGTAGCTGTTTTTGTGTGCTGGCCACTGTTCTAAAATAAATTGTAGCTGCTACAGCAAAAAAAGTTAGTGGCAGTGGTGGCTTACAATTTGTGTGTGTATCTGGAGATGGATATTTCTTCTGCTTCAGAAGCAAGAAATAAAGCATTTAATTATGGAAAAGTGGAGAAGAACAGTAATTTGCATGTAAGAAGAAAAGAATCTACTTTATCAAAAGAAAACCTAGAGTATTACAGAGTGATGATGGAATTAACATCAAAAAGTGAATAAAAGTAAAGAGAATATTTCAAAGAATATGGGATGGGCATATCTGTGTCCTTTATACTGAACACAGCTGAGGGCAGGAATAAAAATAATAGGCTCACTTTCACATTTTAAGAAGGCAGCTACATCTAGAAAGCAGTTCTTTTGGAAGAAGTAGCTGATTTTTTTTTTTTTACGATGCTTCCCTACTTCTGTTAGGCAGAGAGATCTGGACAAGTACCTGAATTTCAAGCTCTGAAATTTGATCATCTCTTTGTAGTATTTGAGAAATCAGGAGTGGTTATCTGTTTCGAACACTTACTCAGTAGAGCTTAACATTCTCCATAATATGTGTACAGTCTATCAAAACTTGGAAATATGCTTGTTCATTAGCCCTGGCTTTTATGGAAGAAGTACGGTGTACTAGGAATACAAAACAGTATAAAATCATGGAACAGCAAATCAAACATCTTGTAAGCAGTAGGGTGAAAGGTCAGTATATTACCTTTATGTGTTCCATTGTTTCCAGTGATGTTGTTTGGAGTCAGAGTGGTTAGTAAGGCACTACTTTTAAACTTATTGGCCAAAGTGGAAGTTACGGTGTTTTCTAAAGAAGCTTTTCGAGTTTTGCAGTCAGCTGCTTGGATAGCTGCCATCTTGATGAACAATTTTTCCTCAGTGTTTGGGAGTGTACATGTGGTATTGTTTTCATTTTCTGGGAATGTGAGCAGTAGAAAGGTTATGGGATATTGTTAATAAATTGTCACGATAATCTAAAAAAAAATCCATGGATAACTAGCATATTACTGCAAAATACAGATAAATTGAGGGTGGATATTATCCAGATTAGGAAGAAACAAGATAAGGCTGTTTGATGTAAACAAGTATGAAATGCTGCTCTTACCAAAACTTACCCATTGTCACATTGGAGGCAGTTAGCCATTTCTGTAAATCAAGGAGGTCACAGGAGCATGTCCATGGGTTTCCAGCTAAAACTATTTCAGTCAATTTAAAAGACGATCTTATATGAAAAGATTTCAGACGGTTATACTGCAGATGTAAAACTGTCAGACTTTTTAGAGAAGTAAATACATCTGAATCTAGTTGAGTAATCATGTTGTAGGATAGATTCAACACTCTCAGTTGATTTAATCCTGCAAATGCTGCTTTATGAACTGTGCTAATATGATTGTTGCTGATATCCAGGATTGAGAGTTTTGTTAGATTGCAGAAGCTGTTATTATACAGTACAGTAATCATGTTTTCATTCAGAGAAAGTTCAGTGAGGTGAATAAAACTTTGAAGAATCTCTTTGTCACTATCTTTTAAAGTGATTTTATTATTTCTGAGGCTTAATTTAGTAATGTTTTTGAAAAAGCTAGTGGGGATACTAGAGAGGTTCTTTCCAGACTCCTCACAAGTGACCTGTTGAAAAAAAAGGAATGACAACAATTAAATACTGTAGGGAACTCCAGTGATGCAGGTGTCTCAGTGATGACTATTAAGGGCATGAAAAGTCTTTCTTGTATTTTTTACTGCTAGCACTTTAAAGGTTCTAGTGCTCTTCATACAGTTTTGCTTATGTTTTTCTTAATATACTCGTGGTCTGGTGATACAGGGAAATGAATCCTCCTAGTCTAGAGACCTGAAATTCCAGATCACTCGGTGCTTAAACTCTGAGGTGCAAGGTTCTTTATGTGATGATCATCCAAAATAGAATCACTTTGACATGACATATTGGAATTAGTAGGGCTGTTTGTTTTAGAATTCTGTGTGAAGGTTGTCAGGATAGAAAAAAGATTCCTTTCCCACATAATCTGGAAAGAAAGTGTCACAGAGGAAGTGGATTCAAAGTTGCAAATTAATTCGAATATGCTTTTTCAAATGTATTGCTTTGTTGTAAAACCAGCTATGCTTACTCTTTAAAACATCTTTGGAGCAGACCTTCACCAAAACATTTAATATATATTTGTATTATAGCACTTAAATTCCTTTTGGTTTTCTGGGTTGAAGTTTAGCATAGCTCTTTTCAGCTTTGAGAATGTTTACTCTCAATACCTTGAAATATTTATGTTTTCTAAAAAGAGTAGATTTCTTTATATGTGTATGTAGGCATCACTGCAGACTACTGTTTAGTATCAAGATACTTGAACTAGCTTTAAAGGAGATTCTAAGTACTGGAAACAGTTTGGTTGTGTTATCCCTCTTCCTAAATAAGTAGTAAATAAGTAATTAAATAACTAGTTACTGCTGTGACCAGATTGAGTCTAGATAGCTTATTTAAAAACAAATGTAGGTGGAGTGCCTTTTTACACTGCATACACCTGTTGTGTGTTTTTTTTTGTTCTTCATGTTTATCCCAAAGATGAATGAGCAGTAGGTACAGTACTGGACCTGTAGGCAGAGTCAGAGCAAATAGTGCAATACTAGTTTTATCACCTGACTGCTAATCAAGAGTTCTTCCTTCCCCTCCATTCCCCAGTAAATACAAAATCCATTAAATTAATCTCTGAAAAAAAACTTTAACATTTCTTATATACATTTGGACCTAACTTGAGCAAGTGCTAACTCAATAAAT